TGCAAATCCTTTACACTATAAGTTGATGATAAAAAATTATATTTGATGGGTGAAAGAGGTAAACATCATTAAGTTTAACAATAATTTTTTTTTTTTTTTGTTAAATTTTAAACTATAACCATCGAGTATATTTATTTTGAGATTTCTATGGAGATATTTTTATTTTTATTGACATATTTTATGTAAAAAATAATTTAAAAAAAATTAAAAATAAATCGTAACATGAAACAAATACGTCAGAAACATGTCACGCGTGCATACATAATCAATCTATTTTCGGTTATTATTATTATTATGATAAATATATCGAACAGTTTAATATAATATAAAAAGAGCATATAATACTTTTTATCATAGATGATAATAATAATAATAATAAAATAATATAGATAATTCGAGTGAAGAGTTGGCTTGGTATATACAAAGAAAATGTTATAATCAATATGCGTGATAATATGAATTTTAACAAAATTCTGAGCTTCTACATTCAATGACCTCGATACTGAAGAAAGATTTATATCATGATAATATATATGAACAATATTGATTGGTTACGTGATTGAAAATTTATATTATAACTGCTCTTATTATGTCATAGAAAAAAACTATTTTTTAATATAGATTTTATATTGTTTTATTTAGTTACTGCTTTATAATTTTTTCAAATTTCAGCCCAAAAAGTTTAGACATATCAATTCCCACTGTCGTCTGTCTGTCTGTCCTTCCTTAATCTCGAGAACTGTTGTTATCGAGATAATGGAAGGACAGATAGATGAAAATCGAGATCAGATATGGACAGGAGGTCCGATTAATTATATACCAACTTCCGGGCTATACCGGAAGATACGTGATTTCAATTCAAAAATGTTCCCCTGTAAAGGTATTAGATAGATGACTGGCATGACACTATTGTAATTAGGAAAAGTATGACGTACAGGGGAAAGATACGACTAATTTTAGATCGAGAGCATATATTTTAAATTAAAAATATGGTTAAAAATTGCAACCCGGCATTGTGATGTCACAATAATTTTTGCTTGTCTTACTTTATACATATATAAATATATGTATAAAGTAAAAATATAAGCAATCAAACTTCTGTACAACGGCCACTAACGAAAACAAATATGTTCCGAGTTTGGCCGTCATTTGCAGGTTATTTCGTACGCATTTCTGTTTACGAAAATTAAAAATGGCTCCCGTTTAGAAACGGCGTGGTTGGGAGGTGGTCGTTATTAAAAGTTAGATTGAGTCTGTATATGTATAGTAAAACTTATGTAAACCGGATCGCATGGTATCAAATTATTTTTTCCGTTTTAGATAGGTTTTACTGTATGATGTTGAATTTAATAATATAATTAATATCATAAAGTTTAAAATTTCGAAAATTATGATTAATTGACAATTGAAGAAATTTTCAAATAACTTAAGTATTTTGACCTTCTATATTAATAGCGAAGTCATTTACATTATTGACATGGCTAACTGTATAGAGAAAGATAGAGAAAAGTTGTTTGACCATGAATGTTTGTCAATATTCTAAATTAGTATATATTAATATTTTAGCAAACATCTAGAAATTATTTTAGTCCAAGTCTATTTTTAAAGCATCGATAAGTATTGCTTATTAAAAGCTTAAATGTGTTAAAATTCTTCCTAAAACGAATCCTTTCTATTTTCTATATTAACTTGAGTCACTGATTAATATTTTAAAGGCGTTTAAAATATAATTAGGCCCTATATATTCTNACAAAAATATAATACAAAAATATAAATGTTTAAAAACTGTATAACGTAATTAAATTTATTATATAATCCTTTTGTTTTTTTACCTTTAAAAAAAGTCTTGTTTTGTTTATAATAAATATAATAATTTATTTTAATCGTTAAAGTCAATCAAAATAATATTTTAGCGAAGAATAATGAGCTTAATTTTTATACAGGCTAAGCCAAAAGTCAGTTGACCACTGTAAAAACTAAATTGCTGTTTTCATTTAAATAATTATGTACAGTACTGTACTGTACTTAATCGTATTCGCAAGTTTACATATATATATATATATGTGTGTGTGTGGAGTAACATCTCCATATATATATATATGAAGAGGGTGGCCCAAAAGTTAGTTAACAATTTTTTCTTATGTTTCCGGATGAACTCGAGAGTACGATTAAGTACTTAATTATTTAAACGAATAAAGCAATTTAGTTTTTACAATGGTTATCCGATTTTTGGGCCACCCTTTCCGTATTTATATGTAGTGTGTGTTACACGAGGAGGATGAGTTTGATATCCCGCGATATCCCCAGGGTTAATTTCATAAAGTTAGAATAATTAAGTTTCCCAAGTTAAATTTCAACAAATTTTCGGGTATATTAGAAACAATTTGTTATCGTGATTATTATAAAAGTTAATTAATTACATTGGAGAAATGTTTTGATCGTGTAAATTCTGTTTGATTCTTATAATTGCATTTCAGTTAATTAATTACATTTGAAAAACCCCTGACAATAGAAAATCTTTTGGTTAAATGTTTAATTAAGATTTAAACGTTTTTAATTGACAGATATTTTTTAAAACGTTTTCTTTTTATTTAAACGTCTTTTAAAAGAATGCCACGTTTACTTAATAATGATTTGGAATTGTTTAAAATTTTATTGATTCAAATTAATTATTAATTGAAATTTATATAATTTTAAAGCTTATAAAATACATTTAATTATAAAATAGTTTAAAAATTTAATAGAATTTTTTACAATTAATAATATTTAAGTTTATAACCTATAAATGTGTTGTAAAAACGTCATATAATCACACTCCACGTCATTTAAACAGCATTAAAAATTGATTTATTTAAAAAAAATACATTTTAATTTAAAGAAATATTATAAATTAATTACTATTTTTATATGTAAATTATAATTAAGCTTAATTTTTTTAAATTTAATTTTTTACTACTTTCGCATTTATACTTTAAATAAAATTCCTATAATTCAATTAAATAAACAAACAAATTTATTAATTATATTTAAAAATTTATAAATTTAACTTTTAAAAAAATGCACACGGTAAAACCTGTCTAAAACGGAACCCGAATAAAACGAAAACCTGCCAAACAGACAAAAAATATTCTATTCTATGCCGTGCGAGTCCGGTTTACACAGGTTTTATTGTATTTTATATTTCTTGCACACTGTTCATATAAAGCATTTTTCAAATAAAATTCTTTTTTTTTGTATTGTTTATCAAATTGTAAACTTATTTTTATAAAAATAAAGGAATAAAATAGAAAAAAAATAAAGTTTCTGCTGAGTAAAATAAATCCAAAAAAATAAAAATGCAGTAGTTATTATTTGCAAGTATAATAATGCACATCTGTTTCACACGCATTCAAATATATGATAGTGGATCTTTATTTTTTTATTATTATTTTTTTCTAAAAAAAACTACGGACATATTATTAAATTTTAATAAAAATTTAATTAAATATTGGACAATTGTTTATAAAAAAATTTTTTTTATTATTAAATTATATTAATATTTTCTATTAAAAAAATATTTTCCTCTTCCCCTCTTATACTTTTTCTTACACAAAGAAATAAAAATCTATTTAAAAAAAATATACTTTAAATTATCAAGATGTAATAATATAAATAATTTACTTTAGAAGCGTGTTAGAAATAATTTAAAAAAATTCGATTTTTATGTTTATGACGGGAGGATTTATATAAAAAGAGAATTCGAAAAAATATACAAGAAACCATCCTTTCAGCTGCAAATCCTTTACACTAATCTATTTATTTGGCTGTCTGCTTTTGTTTATGGTTTTCAGCAAGTACTTTTCTCAATTGTGGTTATAGTAGAAGCTTGTAAAAATTCACTATTGTCTGTCTGTCTGTCTGTCTCTGTCCAAAGACGATATTCTTTCAACTAAAGAAAGAAATAAAAGAGGAGAGCGAGATGGATTTAGTACCGCTTTAGGGTATTTTTTTCTTATATAGTTTTAACAATATTCTTATATAGAAACCGTACAAAACTTTAAAAAATAAATAAATAAAACTTCTTGTTACAATTTCGTATATATAAATAAATATTTTAAAAAATCCTTTGACATAAAAAAAATATATTTAATGTTTAATCAATCGATGATATTGACTAAACACACAAGGACAAAAAAATAGAAAAAAAAATTAAATTAATGTCTTTTCTTCGAGCTATATAAAAAAAATAAACTATTTTTTATTTTTGTGATACGATAACCCAATATTATCCCCGAGGAATTTTTGAAGATAATAATAATTGGTTTCTATATACAACTGGGAATTCTTTAGTTATCTATAACCCAAGAAGGCACATAAATTAGCAATGTCAAAGTATGACACTTCTTGATAGATTTCAAAGTGTACGAGTAAACACGAGACAATAATTAGTTTATAAGTTTTATTTGATGTTTTAGATCATGTTTAGAGGAATGAATCTTAGTTATTTAACAGGAAAAAATATCATTTCTGTCGGAAAAAAATCATGAATAATTCTCTCGACAAACATATAAATAACTGAAAAAATTTACTAGTTTTCCATCCATTTTATATGCGTGCTTGTTTAGGATTTTTGGTTAGAAACCTTGAAAAAACATGGCATTAATCATTTTTATAATGTTTACAACGTATCGGGATATATTAATATTAATAACTTAAGGAGAAAAAATATTAATTATAACATATCGTTTTTATGTAATACATTTTTTTTCCTTCTTATCGTTACCAAAGATTTTATTTACTTTAGAATATTTGATTGATGTTCTTTATAAGAAATTTTTTTGTGGTTATCCAACTTGAATTTTTGATGATTAGATTTACATATTTTATTTCCAGACGTGGCTACTAGAGTAATGGGTATAGCTGGTGGAAAAAGTATGTTACCGTGCAACATCACCCCTCCGACTCAAGATGATAGTGTATCTTTGGTGTTATGGTATAAAGACGATTCTATCACGCCAATTTATAGTCTAGATGCTAGAAGAGGAAATCTCGGTCAAGCTAGACACGCAGCTACTGACAGTTTATCCCGGAGGACTTATCTCATCACTACAAATGTCCCTGCCACGCTCGAAATGCACCAACTCAGTTTAGAAGATGAAGGTGCTTACAGATGCAGAGTCGACTTTAATAAAGCTCGATCTCGTAACTCAATTATTTATTTAAAAATTATAGGTAAGTTTCTAAAATATCTGATGATAATCTTCTATAAATCTCGTAGATTTAAGTAAAAATGTTTCCTGAATTCAGCCCTTCTCGGAGCTTTAATTAGATAACAGACAATTGCAGCTTACTTAATTAACATTCACAAGAATATCCAATTCACCCCGAGATGAAAAGGTATTCATGCCATTATATTATCATCGTTATTCAGATATTTAAAGGATGATAAAGTATAGAGAACTTATCACTCATTCAGTACCTTTTCGGATAACTTCTTACTCAATTTAAATCTCGTTTAATCAACAGACACGTCCGAAACACGATTAGAAAGGGATTTTATTTTATTTTTTTCTATTAAGAATTATTGATAATTTAATATTCTAAAACTTCTTAAGTATATAACACGCATATGTAATAAGATTTAAGAAGATTTTAAGTAGATAAAATGATAAAGTGCAAAGAAAATCACATCAATGAAAGAAGTGCTAGTCGTTCCCATCTGTCAAATTGATTTTGCTTTTGTTGTACATTAACTCGGTACATGTTCATACCCTTTTTTTCATTTCCATATTCATTCAACTCCTTGTCTTTCGTGTATTGTTCAAAGAAAATCTAAGAAAACACGATTAAATGAACATAAACCTCTTCACTTCATGCAGAAAAACAAGTAATATTAACTTCGATACCCGTTGAGAATATTTGACTTGATGACTAATTAATTAGATATCAAATTTCATTTATTATTTCGTATGTTAATCTTGTAAACGAATTTGCATTTACATGAAGGTAAAGAAAAAAAATACACGACGAAAAAATTAATAATAATAAAACTATCTTTTAAGAGAATGATATTGAAATTTGTTCGCTTATTTTTGTTTTTAAATATATTAATTAATTATTTTAAAAAAATAATAATATATTATATTAGACAGATTTAACAAAGCATTATTCCTTATTTATTAATATTTATAATTAAATAATTTATTTGAAAAAATGTTATATACACTTTTCGAAGTTTTTGTGATTTAACCTATAAGATGTGATTTAACCTATAAAAATGGGAAATTTATCTATCTTATTAACAATAAAATTAATAATATTATATATTGTTATATTCCTCGGAAAGTAAGGAATTAAATTATTTTAAAATACTTTTAATATTGTTTAAATTTGAAAAGTAAAAATTAAATTCATTACCCAATCAGAACTTTGGGTACTACCAGATTGGAATTGATTGAAAGATTTTGATGATATGGATTGAGGTAATGGAATAAGGAAACACAATACATAGGCAATTTGCCTTGAAGTAGTATTTTATATGGGAAATTGGTCCCTATTTAGGTATTACGCGCGTAAAAATTTCTAAAATACACCACGTAGTCGACTCGTGGTCAGGCGCGAACCCGAAACCATTAACTAGTGGCCGAATGGATAAAATCACTCGGCACCTAGTTAATGGTTTCGGGTGGGCTTTGCAAAATCATATAATTTAACGTCTCCACAACATACTTTTATGCACTACTAACATTTTTAATATGATTATTAAAAGTGACCTTCTGATCAAATGTTTACACCAAGATAGGAAACAGTATCTGAGTATGGAATCGACTGTTTGGAAATAAAAAATGGCTACATAGACAGGTAATTTGTTATTCCTTACCTAAAACACAACAGTTTTTTCTTTAATATTAAACTAAAGATTTAATTTCCCTAAAGAAGAAAATAAAGCTTGTGTAATATATTAGCATAGGGATGTATCAATTTTAAATCAGCAAAAGCTGCTGATGAAGTTTTACACGAGGAAATAATTTTATTAATATATGCAGAAAAGAATGTTTTTTCTATAATTTTATGTCGAATTTTTTCAGAAAATTGAAGGTGTTTTAACAAATTTAGCGTACCTAACCATGTAAAGACGATCGACGATGAAAAATATCAAAGAAATTAATTATAAGTAAACAATATTTTACACGTTATATAGATCATTAAATGTAAGATATAACCAGTAGTAACAATCGTACATCCCCACAGACTCGTTGTACCTGTTGGACCTCATAATTAGCTTCATCCTCGGTTCCTTAAGTGCATTTTCATCTATCAGAATGCACAAACTCTCTTACTATAGAATTTAATTAACGTTATTTCACTATTACCAACATACTGATTAAACTATGTAAATTTGGTAATTGGCCGAGGTTCCTTACTCTGTTATTACTACCAATACACAGCTCAACTACAAAGCTTTATTGAATTCTGTATTATATTAACAAGACAGCTCTCGTAAATCCCAATTGCTACCAGATGGCAACAATACAGATAAGTCACGTGACATTGGTGTAATATCGAATGTACTAACAAGATCACACTCTTCCCCTGTTCTTATGCTTATGCTTAAAATTTCAAGCTTTAAACACCCTTTTTACCATTTTTTAAAATGGTTTTTACTGTTTATCTATCCTGTTTATGTATAGAGATAGATAGTATGATGAAAACTATGATGGGATTTAAGCTTTTATCAAAACAAAAAGAGTTTTCGTGACTCGAATTTTATAAAAACTATAAAATTTAATGCATTAAAAAGAAAGATAAATATTTAAATTTGCTAAAGACAATGAATGTTTATTGAAAGCTTTTGTTAAATGGCTTCTTCCTTTACTATTTGTCGTGCCTTTAACATATTCTTCTTTGTTTTTTAAGAAACAATTGGTGAATTTAAATAAGTAATTTTTGTTTTATTTATTTATATATGTATTCTATCGATCATTAATAATATAACGACACGCGACGAAGAGTTTTTTTTAGTGGTTAGCAATTAGATAAACATTCGTGTGTACTCAAAATAAAAGTTTTTTTTTTCTCCCTATGTTAATAATGACATGATCTTTAAAAATAAACTTTTAGCTTGAATTTATATATTTAAAAAATTTTGGTGCTTCTGACGAAAATTCAATAATTAACAAGTATACTAGATACACGCGTTAACAGTTATCACCTGTACAAGACACGCATATTCTTGTTTATATGAAGATTTTAATGTCTTTATATATAAAGACATTAAAATTTTATTTAAAAAATTTTTTTTGACATATTTAACTGTATTTTTAATGGTTTAATATAAATATTAAAGATTCATAAGAAATTAATTAATAGAAAGTATCTCTTAATACTTAGAAAGAATCTTCAAAAATGCTGAGGATGATTCTTTAGCATCTTTGAAAATTCTAGTTATATTGATGATTGATGATCATAGATGCTAAGAATTGACAATTAGGATACTAAGGATGATTATTGAAAGATTCAACCTCAACATCTTTGATCATCAATCATCAATAACTTTGAATCTTCAAAGATGTCAAGAATAAATCCTTAGCATCATCTTTAAATCTGCTTTATTTTATTATGATTTTTATCAATTTACGAAATTTAAATGTTCTAAAATTAAATTAAATTTTTATTTATATTAAGTATATAATTTAAATACCAGATTTTGTTAAATTATTATTATATAAATTTGGTTAAGATCTCTACAATAATTTATAAAATAATTTTGATTATTTAAAAATAATTGTAATTTTATTAAAAAATTAAACCTATATGATAAAAATTGTTGTATAAATCCATTAAAAATTAAGTTAAAAAAGTTCTATTGATTAATTATTAAAAATTAAATACTTCAAAGAAATTAAGCACCAAAGATTTTATATTTAGCTATGTTTAGAGCTAAATATAAGCTCATTGATGCTTAATTTATTAAAAAATTATAACAAATTTACAAAGTATACTTTTGTTTCCACACTTCTAGACACTAAAAGAGGTTAAAAAAATAAAACAAAGACAATTTCCTGCATCACAATAATATTTTCTCTCATTCAATATGCTACATTTCACATTTACTTCTCATAAAAAAACATTCAAAATATATTTTCTTTATATATATATATTGGGAGATGTTTCTGCGTATCCTCTTTTCAATTCGTTTTCTCATCTTTTCTTTCTCTTTTCCTTTTTTTCTTTTCCACAAACCATGTTCTATCTACCAAACATGTACTTCAGTAAAGTACCAACATTTTGAAAATTGTAAACCATCTAAGAAACTATCGAAACAACTTGAATATTTGAATATTCGAGTTATTTTTTAAAAAGATTTTTTTACATTTTTACAATCACCACCTCACAAATTTCGAGTAGAAAATTATAAATTTATAAGGAAATTTCTCTTCTAGATGGTCGCCAAAACATAAAAATATATCGTTACTGATGCGATTTTTAAAAGTTTACAATAAAGAAAAATGTTTATAAAGTAATTAAAATTCAATTTTTATGTATAAATTTACATGAAATTTATTTTAAAATAGTAAAATTTAATTAAGAAATTATTCATTTTTGAGTAATGAAACGTGTGATATTGATATACTCTGTGTGTGTGTGTGTGTGTGTGTGTGCAATTTTTAAGGTTTATAATAAATAAAATTATTAGAAAACGTTAAAAATTTAGTTTTAAAATGCAAATTTATTGTTTTAAAAATAAATTTTTAAGAAAAATTTCTTAAAAATTTAATAATATTTGAACGGATTTAGACTTGAAAATTTTTGACGAGGAGCTTCAGAAAATAATTCATAACAAAAATTTACTTTATTCATAAAGAAAAGAAATTTTATCTCTGAATAATTTTATTTTTTTTTATGATGAAATTCGGAATTTTTGAAAATATTACTTTTTCTAGAAATAATTTTCAATACTATTCTCAAGTTAAACGATTCGATATAACCAGTTAATGTCTACTAAAAATTCAATTGACTTTCAACAGGTGACATATAGCTATACTTCAACTAGAAATTCTATACTGTAAGAAAATTTTTGCACATAAAAAAGTTATATTAAAAAAAACAGATAAAAATAAATTATTAAATAATATTAAATACGTTATTTAATATATTTACTTAACTTTTATATAAGCCTATATATATATATAACATCAAAGCCTGAAATGCGTAAAGAAAAATCACTTATTTTATCTAAAAAAAATGAAAAATTAAAATTTTATTACGTGTAAAAATGTATTAAATCTTATATTATACAATTTAATTAAAAGAAAAACTGTTTGTTCTTCGAAAAAAAACCTTCAAAGATGATGCTGAGGATGAATCCTTAGCATCTTCTTTACTCACCAGAATCTTCAATGATGATGATAAGAATGAATCCTTACCATTACAATCAGTTACTGGATTACACGTAGTTTTCTTGGTGAAATCAATAATAATAATAATAAGATAAATCTCATTATTGATTTCATTTATCCTTAACACCATAAAGATAATAAATGATATCTATCGTTTCAGTTCCTCCAAGGACAGTGCATATCAAAAACAAGAATGGTGAAGTCTTGGATGGGGTGATAGGACCTTATAATGAAGGTGATAGAATCTATCTTCTATGTGAAGCTGAAGGAGGTAAGTACTTAAAATTATATTAATGTTTTTCTTAAATGTTATTCCAATATAAAGCATGCATCCTCGTGTATATTTTAGATATCTTTGTGTGTTAAGAATAGCAATTTTCTGTAGCCGAAACAGTAAATTTTTATAATGAATCCTACAAGAGGTATTGTTTTCTATTTAAATGTAAATTTGAACTGTCAAAATTTTCGAAAATGTTCACTAAACATAAAAATATTCCTTAAATTTAACATTAAATTCATGGAAACACCCCAAAAATTTCTTCTTCAATAGTAAAAAAAAAACAGAAAACACTTATCGAGAAGAAAAAAAAAATTGAAAAGAAAATACTTTTCGTAAACAATTATATAATTTAATAATTCCTAGAAGACATTAACCCAAATGAATTTAAACTTTCCATTTAACTTGTTAATAATTAAGTAGCTATTCACACTTTATGAAATATCCAAGGGAAATGGCTGAGGAATGGGATTTTGCTAAAGTCTTCGACAATCAACTAAACTACTGTATATATCCAATCTCTAATTATTACGCTATTGATGTCATTCATACAGACAGAGTTTGCACCATCTTTCCATTTCCAAAACGGAATTTATATGCGTGCTATCGGGTCTAGACCCAAATAGCATTAAAGTTTGGTATGTGTTGACTAAATTCCCACCAGTATTAAATTTGCCATTTACCAAATACTCAACATTTCTGTGAAGTCTGAGTAATTTCGTATATGTACCATAACAGATATCGAACAACACAACAACTAAATAATGTTTCTAGACAAAGATTGTTTCACAAAACTATTGTCATCTTCACCCTCCTTTTTTTCAAACCCCATTTTTTTAAAACTGATTTTCTACTTAAATACATTATCTACAGTTGAATGTTCATCTGTTTTTCCGACTTAAATTTTAAAAAAAAAATTATGTATTTTTTTACAGTTTTATCATACTTTAGCATCTTCGGAACATGCTTGGAATAAATCACTTTAATAATAATAAAAAAAGAAAAGAATTCTGAATTCTGCTTACAAATAATTCTTTCCAGTTATTGATCTAATTTTAGAGTTACAAAATCTCCATGCAGAAATTCTATTATCTATCGAATTTATTTTCAATTCTAATCATTTTTTTTTCCTTTCTTACTTTATATATAATCAATTTTCAGATTTTTGTGTGGAAGAGAGATAAAAAAAATAAAAATAATAATAATAATTTGCATTGTAAGTATAATAGATTTAACTAGAGCGAAAGCTATTTTGGTAAAGGGAAATTTTAAAATTAAAATTAAAAACAGATTTCTCTTCTATAATTCATTTTAAATACATTTTTCTTTTCCATTTACTTATCTACATACAGGGCGGTCCAAAATTCAGTTTACCATCAGAATGGCTCGAGCAAGATTTGAAAGATTATCATATTTTTGTAGCTTTTGTAAGTAATAAAGTATTTGAATAAGAGGATTTGTAATGGTTAACTGACTTTTGGACCTCCCCCGTTCGAAGTTATACAGACAGTCCAAAAGTCAGCTAACTGTACAAATGGCCTTAACAAGCAATTATTTATTGTGACATCGTGAAAATGCAGGACTGAAATTTTTAATTATATTTTTAATTTATTTAATTTAAAATATATTCTCTCGGACGGACGGACGGACGACAGTGGGAATTGTTGGGCTGCAATTTGAAAAAAATATTATAGACCTATAGAGAGATGTCCTATTTTGTAACGTTTAAGTACTCGAAAACATGCAATTATTCTTTAAAATGGTTAACTGACTTTTAGATCATTCTATATAACTTTGATTTTATTTTAAAAGTAATTATATAGATATATATTTCCCCCGTGTGAAATCTTAGGAAGACCACTCCCTTCTTTGACATGGTGGAAAAATAAATATCCGTTAGACGATACGTACGACGTAACTCCAAATGGTGTAGTACGTAACGAGATGATAACATCGATGCTGGAACGTGAAGATCTAATGGCAACTTACACGTGCCAAGCTTCAAATCACAATTTTTCTGCACCAGTCAAAGCTTCAGTCATCGTAGATGTTCATTGTAAGTATATACATGTGTATATATATATATAAATAACTTTTATAAAACTTATTTGAAAGTTTCTATACTCCTGTACATAGGTTAAGGTAGTGTATGAGCTTACAAATTTTCGAAGCTTTCCAAATCCTTACATTAAAGTTAAGCATTACCTCTACAGTAGATGGTTAGATCATTTCTTTAGTAATCCAGGAGTGTATCAAGATTTGCCAAATGTCAGCCATTTTAAAGCCAAAAGAAGAAGAAGAATTTCTAGAAGGACAGATGCGTGAACTTATGAATGTCGAGTGGAGTATGTCGTAGAAGAGACACTTATTTCTCTCATCCTTCATCTACAAATCTCAAAATCCTTGCAGAAGGAATTTATCGACCCATTCTCTTCACTGTTGGCGAATTTAACCATTGTTCGAAAGTGTTTAACGTCAAGAAAATGAATAGGATTTGGCAAATCGGACAGCAAAAATATGAAGTCATATACTTCATTGCCTTTACAAAAATTCCCTTTTCCTTTATTATTGATAGAACTTTTAGATTTTTGACGAATATTTGTCATCGATAATTTCTTCCTCTGACCCCTTTTTAAATGTTCCAACATCATTCAGACTGAATATATTATTAAATTGCATCATTCTTCATCACTTACTTCAACATAAAAAATAAAAAAGGAAAGGAAAGGAAAGTTAAAAATAAGGAAAGAAGAAATGAAATTATTACATTTCAGACAGATAAAAATAATTTAAATCAATAAAAACTAATCGATATGCATTATAGATGTGGCTTAAGTTATTGATAAAAATTCTTGTTTTTTTCCGACTTCACGAAACTAATATTATAGAAAATTTGACTTTAAACTAAGGGAATTTTTTTCCGAATTTCTTTAACTTTAGGGAATAGTTTACCGACCCTGAATTCATCAGGGAACAAAACGGTAGAACTATCCAGTTATTCCCTAGTTTCTTTTGACCTTCTCAACATCTTAGTTGAACCAGATGACGGAAATAACGTAGTCTTACTGTAGGAACTAATCGTTTTTTTGCAATGCCCAATTCAATTTTCCAAAACTTCCATCCAAACTTCAGCACGCGAAAAAGAAGTTAAAGGAGACTATGAAATAGAAAAATCTCTTGACAAAAAGAACGTATTGACTTCTTTTTTTGAAAGAAGAAGGGGGAAATACTTTTTTTTTCTTATTTGGTATATACCTTCTAACTCTAGCAATACCAATATCTCACGTTTTTTTGATTTTACAAGAGATAGAAGATGACAGTTCAACATAGAGAAATTTTGAATGTGTAAGAATTTCTTAATAAGAAGTTAGAATGTCATTTTGACGCTTTCCTTTTTTTTATTTTTTTTTACGTTTTTTGATAGACTCGATCGAAATAAACTAATAAAAATACATTTATATATATATATAGATTAAAAAGTATTTTGCTGTTTTTGTTAAGGAATTAATTATGAAATTTCCTTTTTTTACGTGTATTTCTAAAAAAGAACATTGACATTTTGAAGTGCTTGATCGATAAATTAATTTCATTTTCTGAATATTATTTCATACTACACATTTAAAAAAAATATCTGAATGTTATCTAATTAAAGATTTAATATTATTTAATACGAAATTTGGAATTTTTCCCCCTTACTGCCTAGTATAACTGCAATCGAAGATAAGCTTGAAGCTAATGTGATTTTTAAACATTACTGATTAATAAAAATAATAACTGACTTAATTCATTTTAAACAAATTAATAATACTTAATTTTAACATCATTATCATCATTTAAACCCCCTTTTTCCGTTAAAAACGTTAGAGTAATTTACGAGTTTTATCCTTTGTTTAAAACTCCAATAGCTTTCATCTTCCATTAGTTCATCCATTAGGCTACTACTTTATTTCGTTGCCTTTTCCTCCATTTTTTTTTTATTTTATAAGAAAACTATCTTTTATAAGGTTTCTTTATCAATAATGTGTCCAATTTTCTTTTATCCCCACTCTTACACTTCTCTAACTTCAGTAACTACAATACTATCATCTCTTGAAGATCTTGTACAGGAATCCAAGCATTCCAACTGGAACTTCCAGATCAATTTTTTATATTTTATACCATCCCTTTTTATTTATAACTCAATTAAAAATATATATAATCGATATCGATTCCAGATCCACCATTAGATGTTAAGATTGAAGAACGAGGTCAATCTCTTTCTGCCCAACGTCAAGCAGAGTTCCATTGCAAGTCAACAGGCTCTCGACCGCCAGCTGTAATCAGTTGGTACAAAGGAACCACGGAAATGACAGAAACAAAAAGCAGTGTCATGCCAGAATTGAATACAACAGTGAGTATGATGTCATTTGTACCCACCATAGCTGACACGGGCAAAAAATTAGTGTGCAAAGCGGACAATCCATTGATAGAACACAGCAGTATAGAGGATACAATCAAACTCGACGTTCAATGTAAGTTGATAATTTATAAGGAAAAATTGCTTTTTATTTTACTTATATAATATAAAATAAATCTTTAAACTATATTTTAACTTTTTGACTATAAATCTGATAGTAAATTTCTTTCAAATTTTCCGTATTTTAACTTGAAATTTGATAAATTAAACGTATCCTTTTGTAAAAATGTTCGATATTAACAGGAAAAGGAACATATTTCAAATGACAAAAATGCATTTTTTTTATTTATAAAAATATTCTATTTACCTTTTTAAAACGTATTTATCAATAATTTAAACCGATATAACGTTGTCCTTTTGCTAAAAACACCTCGATATATCGGTTTGAAAGTATATATATAATTTCTCCCGCGTGTTTTTTTTTATTGGAAAAAAAAACTAATAAAATTTATTACATTTTTATGAAAAATAAAAGAATAATGAAATGTTGGAAAATATATTAAATTATTTTAAAAAAATTTCATGCTCATGATTCTAATAAGATTATCCACGTAAGAAGTGGAAACAAAGAAGATTCTATTCCTCTTCAGTAAATTGAAAAATTTCTTTATATATATATATATATATATTCCTCAAATTAACAATTTCATAATAGCACTGCGTCCGTTCTGTATTTGTGAAGTGCGTTAAAACACTTCATACTAAATGCACATATAAATTATAAATTATTAGATTTATTTATTTATCTATATAAATCACAGAAAATGAACAGTTAAAAATTTATTACGATGTATGAGCCTATATATACTGTATATATACCACGTATATATACATTATAAATTTTTTGACTGTTCATTTCCTGTGATTTGTGATATTTATTTTTCATCTTTCGCTACAGAATTCCGTTTTAACATGTTTTATATATACAGTCAAAGTCGTTTACATGGGGTATTTTGAGGGTTTAACTTCTTATTTGGAAAGAATTAAAAAACGCAAAAATAAAATATGTTATATCCGTTCAGTTCCTACTTTGTTTGCTTTACTTTGTTACCCTATGTGTCATACATCGTAATAAATTTTTAACTGTTCATTTTCTGTGATTTATATAGATAAATAAATAAATCTAATAATTTATAATTTATATGTGCATTTAGTATGAAGTGTTTTAACGCACTTCACAAATACAGAACGGACGCAGTGCTATTATGAAATTGTTAATTTGAGGAATATATATATATATATATATATATA